CGGCCTCCCAGAGTGCTAGGATTACAGGCGTGAGCCACCGCGCCCGGCCAAGACTTTTTAATTTTTAATGTTACCAAACACCGTGTCCTATGACTTTGACCAGATGGAGAAGGTTGAAACATCTACCCCATATTCTAGGTATAACTGACATTTACTCATGATTTTGGATAAAATCATAGCTCAGAATAGTTGAGCCCCAACACTTTCTGTGGAAATACAGACCACACTGTCTTCAGACTTCAAGGGCACTGCAGACTCCTAAGACAAGTTAAAGACAAACGGTCTTGAGTCCACTTTACAAACCAGGAGAGTGACAGAGCAAAGAAAGGAATCAGAAGAAAGGTCCCAGTGGCTCTCTTCAAAAGGTGGGGGACTCGCATTTCCTCGGGACTCTGAGGCTCCCCTCCTCCTCTCCAGGAAGACCTCTGAGTGGCAGGGTGAGCTGAGATTCTGCCATGGGGGAGGACCTCTCTGCTCCGTCCTCCTGATACTGGCAGGTCTGTATCCGGAAGTGGGACTGACACTCACCTGTGCAAGTTCCTCAGACCCTCCTGAGGGAGTTCTTAGATTTGATTTATTCAGGAGCATTTGAATTTATCACAGGAAGCTTAGTGTTAAAATCAGGCAGATGGCCTGCATATGCAGCCACCCTTGGCAGTGCAACAGGGGCCTGGGATCTTCCACTCAAAAGGGAAGCCTCTCCTATCCCTCTTGTTTTATCTGTCCTGACAGAAATGTCATGATGAGGGTCTGAGGGGAAGAGTGGTATAGTGGTGGGTCTTTAATGCTGTGAAATTATCCTTTAAACCCATGTGGAATTTCAAAATGGAATGCCATCAAAAACTGGCCTCAACCCAGAAATGTTAGCTCCATGTGGAAAGGTACCGTGGGCTGCCACATTCTTTCCTGTGTCTCCAGCATCCAGCACAGTGCCTGGTGCCTGGTGGGGACTCAGTACATGTGTGTGAGTGACACAGTGAATATAGCCCCCAAATTTTCAAATCACTTAAGCAGCGGAGACGGGAACTTTTCAGATGTCCTTTCTATGGATTTTTTTTTTGGGAGGGGGACAGGGGAGGGTCTTGCTGTGTTGCCCAAGCTGGCCTTGAACTCACAGGCTCAAGTGATCTTCCTCCCTTGACCCTCCCCCCTTTCTATGGATTTTTTCCAAGAGTCTGTTTGACCCTGTGGAATACATGAAGTGTTTGTCCTAGTCCACTACCAGCTGGCCTTAACTTTAACTAAAGTTATACCTCTTAGGACCTCAGTTTCCATACTCCAAAGAAATTGGAACAGATGATTTCTAAGATGCCTCCTTGTGCTGCCGGAGGCCTTGAATGCCCCTCTGGGACTGGCAGGCTACATGTAGGTGGATGTGGTAGAGGTCGGGAGGAGGTGGGGGAGGTGGTGACATCATGCTAGTGGTAATAATTACTAAGTGACCAGGGTCAGGAAGCTTGTCTTACTGGTTCCTGTGAAGAAGCCACTGAAAGAAATACTGGGGGCATCTCCCAGTGCGTACTTCTCCATGAAACTTCTCATCTTCCTAAAATGTTCATCCCTGCAATTTTTCGCAGTTTTCTTGTCCCCTGGTAATGAGTACTTTGTCCTTTCTGTACGTTAGCTCATTCAGTCCTTACAGCAGCCCATCTTACAGATGAGCCTCCGAGACACAGAGGTGATACTCGGGAGCTTGCCAAGGTCACTTTGTGGAGAGGGTGGACCCGCTACTCTCCTTCGTCCCAGTTCTCTTCATCATTTTCCTTTACTTTTTTTTTTTTTTTAATCTTTTTTCCTAGACCTGCCACTGGCTCCAAAATGGAAGGGATTTGCCAGCTACTAATCTAGACAGTTCGTGGAATTTACCTTCAGACTATCCATCCAGCCCTGTTGAGTTATGGGAGCCCTTGGTGTTTATCTGTTCAGTGACTACTTTGTAAAGTAGGAGGTTCCTCTGTGGAGTATTCCCAGAGGCCATATGGCCACAGCTGGGTTTTTACGCATTACCTGGGAGAAAGCCATGGTGCCCACGGGATTCCTCACAGACATAGGATTCTGTCATGTGCGCGGGCATTTTGCAACCTCTGAAATATATGAGGGAAGCTTCACCTTTCTCCTCTTCCCCATACTGTGCTCAGAACACATGACCCGGTGAGGCTCCCTCTGGTGAAAAGACTTGGGTATATGATGAGGTTCATAAATAACCGTGCATGAAATCACTAATTACTGTCTTGGCTGTGACATTGATAACTTACGTTATTAAGCTCACATGCTCTGCTCTGACCCTCCATTCATATCTCAGAAGTTCCGTGAGTGTCCTCAGATATCAGCATGAACGATCCAAATATATCCAGTAGTATCACTGATACTTCTCCAGCCCAAAGCAAAGAAACTAGCTGGATGTTTAGGCTTGATGCCGTGTTTGGGGGAATGAATGCGCGTTTCCGTTAGACCTCTTGCGTTGCCAGGGCTTGCTCATCCCCACCCTCCCATATTGGGTTCTACTTCTCTCACACTTCTCTCCATCTTGGCTGCTTTTAACTCCTGGAGAAGCTCCTAGGGGACCCCAGGGAACAGAGCCCCTTCCTGTAGTCGGCCCAGTCTCTCACTCAGGCTGCGTCAGCTCGGTTGGCGTGTCTGGTGTTTGCTCCTGTGTCCTGCTCTGCTGCTCGTGGAGCCTCAGCCCTCTCGGAGCCACGCCTTAGACCTGTGGCCCTCTGTGGCCGTGCCTGGCTTCAGTTCTGAGTGAGATGCTGCCATCAGCAGCCCTGCAGCTGGCTAGGAAAGACGTGCACCCTCTTGGTGGGCTTTTTCAGTCCATTGAGCTTCTGGTCCTACGATAAACTGGAAAGCCTCTTTCTGGGTCGCAAAGGAGTGGGTTGAGCCCCAGCACCACTGATGAAGCAGGAGTGGGTGGGGTGGGCTGTCACGGGGTAGCAGCCCACTTTTCCCACCCTGGTGCCTGCTGGCCAGTGCAGCTGTGGGAACAGCATGTGGCACAAACCTAGCCATCTGGACTTGCCCAGTGTGGCCTCTGAGCTTCCCTGTGGAAGGGCACATGTCTGCCTACACTCGGAGTGCCTCTGGTTCCCGTCCAAAGCTGGACTAACCCAAGTTTGAATTGCATGTTATTCCACTCCTACCAAGGGTTGGGTTTGGGAAGAGGAGACAGCATGATCTATGTAGGGGGCTGTCTGTAAGCTGCTGCGCTCTCCCTCCCTTTCCTGAGATCTGACGCCTGCCACTGTTCCGCTGCGGGTCTAGCTCCCCAGCTATCCAGGAGCCATAGGCCAGCGTTGGAGGTCAGTAGGACCTGCCTGGACATTTGTCCAGCTCAGTTCAGAGCTTCAGCAAGACTTCTCTGGGCTCTGCGGAGGGCTCTTGTGCTCAAGAGTTTGTAGACATAGGATCTGAAACTTCTCGGGCCAGACTGGCCCCCATCTCCCCAACCCTTCACTTACCACCTGCCCTCTCCCAAGCTGCCGCAAGTTCCCTCTGCAAGCTGTACAGCTTAGTGAACGGCTCTGCTCCAACCCCCCAGTGGCCACCTCCTGTGCACAGACCCCCTGTCCCTGGCCTTTCCCATGGTCTTCCTTATGGAACACTGTCCAGTTGATGAAGGAAGAAGATTCTTGGAGAAATGGAAGCGAGGGGACAGGGAACACAGGCCTGAGACTCTGCTGGCCGGCAGCATGTTTCTGGCTCATTCCTGCTGCTGGCTGGTCTCGGGTAGCCTCACCTGTGTCCCCAGGGGCCTCAGCACTGCGCGAAGCTACACATTCATCCTTTTCACTGCTTTTATTTTAGGAAGATGATGAGAAACTAATTGAGGAAATCCAGAAGGAGGCCGAAGAGGAGCAGAAAAGAAAGAACGGAGGCAAGAGCTCCCCCCCAGGACGGCCACGTCAAGCATGCGGCAGTCCAGGGCCACGTGGGGCCCCACCGCTGGCCCTCAACCCAGCCTGAAGGGTGGGGGGTGCTGCCCCTCAGGTGTCCACTGACAAGGCCACTGCTCAGGCCCGTGGGAAGGCCATCAAAGCCTTGGCTGTGGTTTGGGTCTCTCCTTGGTGGTCGGGAAGTCCTGAGCGGTGGGTTTGGACTCAGGAAGCAAACAGAAGCCAAACCTGACTAAAGAGACTGTATGCCCACCCTGACCCTTTCGAGGTTAAAAAAGGAAAAGAAGGGAGGTGTTGAGGGTGGCCCCACAAGGCTCTGGCTCTAAAGGATGCCCCTTGTGGAACTGGATGGACGGGGCCTTCCGGGCCACTGCTGGGGAGTGTGACACTCTTAAGGAAGAGCAGTTTGTCCTTGGTTTCTCGTAATGGCAGTTGAGGGTGGGTGTATGTTTCACATTTTATGCTTTAATCAACCTTCTTGTTGGGGCGCCACCCTCCTGTGTCCAGGGAGAGTGTACTGCAAGTCTGAGGTTGCCCCTCCCCCATCACCCGCTCCAGGCTCCCTTTGGCTCCCCCCGCCCCCTGCTCTGGTGGGTGGGACCAGGGCAGTGTGTGCAGCCTGTCCCAACCTAGATCCAGCTAAGTTGGTTTAACCTGTTTTTCTCAACCACGTCCCATCTCCTTTTCAGAGAACACCTTCAAACGCATCGGGCCCCCGCTAGACAAGCCTCCAGAGAAGGTGCAGAGGATGGAAGCCCTCCCGAGGCCCGTCCCACAGAACCTGCACCAGCCGCAGATGCCGCCCTACGCCTTCGTGCACCCACCCTTCCCCCTGCCACCCGTGCGGCCCATGTTCAACAACTTCCCGCTCAACATGGGCCCCATCCCGGCGCCCTACGTGCCCCCGCTGCCCAACGTGCGGGTCAACTACGACTTTGGCCCTGTCCACGTGCCCCTGGAGCACAACTTGCCTATGCACTTTGGCCCCCAGCCACGGCATCGCTTCTGATGTCCCAGAGCCCTTCCTGGTCCCCCATCCCCACCACAAGCCCCCACCAGGCAGCGGAGGAGCCCGTGCCTGCAGGTTGTAGGATAGAGAACTCATCTCTCCCCCAGGGCTGAGGGCTCCACCGATGCCTTCCAAGGAGGGATGGAGGGTTTGGGAGGGTAGGTTGGTTTTCTTGTGCTCCTCCTCTGGGAAAGGCCACAGCTCCTTGAAGGGTGACCACAAGCTGGTGGCCCTCTGGGTGCTTGTAACAGGATCAATCTGGCCTTCACTGGGCCAGAGAGAAGGGCAGCGAAGCCCTCTTCCTGGAGAGTCCAGCGCGGTGGCGCTGTCTCTGCTGTGTCACTCACATCCCTGCAGAAAATGATGAAGAGGAAATGATTTGCCTCCATTCCTGTTCCCCTAGCAGACAAGAGGAGAAGCCTGTCAGAGTTACAAACCATGTAGGCCTTCCTTCCCACTGTGCAGACGCGTCCATAATAAAGACAAGTAGCACAGAGTGGAGTTTGGAGAGAGCTGAGAGATTGGCACTGCCAGCCCCAGCCGGGGCCCATCATGAGTGGACCTTTCTGTTCTGTGCATAGCTGCGGGTCAAGGACCCAGGGCCCTGAGCTGAGCCCTGGGAATCAAGGCAGCTGTGAGCGTCTCACTTGGGGCCCAGAGGCCTGTGCTCAAGGGGCTCTCACCCCTCACAGAGGATCAAGGTTGGTCCCATGAGGAGGTAGCAAAGCCCATCCACAGGCCTAGGAAGCCCCACGGATGGGCTGTGCACTGCAGCGCCTCGGAGCATTGCCCAGTGCCAGGAGGGCAAGACACTGTCCCTCACATCCGTGCCCAGGTGCCACCACGGTGACCATTTAGGAGGCCTCCTCTCTTCTTTTTTAAGGCCTATTGAGGTCAGACAACAAAAGAGAACCATCTTGTGCTGTGAGTTTTGTTCTGTCATTTATCTAAAATGTTTGTTCCTGTTTACTCTGAACTTACCCAGTTTTCCATGGCCTACTTGAATTCCTAAAAAGTCAAAGTAGAAATCAGTTACCCAGGTCAGGCAGCTGCCGAGGGCTGGATGGTTTTGGAACTTTGGCCAAACAAAAGATCATCTCAGGGTGGCTGGGAGAGGCTTGGGCAGCTCATTGCTGGGGAGACACCTCCGCACCAGCTGGGTGATGAATAGCTTTTCCCCCAAGGTTTTCTCGGGGGAGAAGTGGGCTCCTCTGGAGGGCAGATAACCCCAAATGCCACCTAGCTGGGCACCCACCCAAGGCACTGCCCATTCTGCCAGCTGTGCTGCACCTGTTGTGGCAGGGCTCACGCAGCAGGTCCTCTGTCCCTCCTTCCCGTGTATTCTCTCAGTGGCTGGTGGTGGAGGCAGGTGGAGGGGTGATGGCCCAGCCCCCTAGGGAGTGAGGGCAGCTGTCCTTTCCCTGGGGTCGAATGAGAGCTTGGGCCTGCTGCATTCCCAGCCACCTTCCTCCCTTCCTGTCTGGCCCAGGTCTCTCGCTATACCTGAGACATTGCACCAGCCTCTTTGCAAACAGAGGCCTGAAGCTTCTGACTGCCCAGCTGGGAGCCAGCCCTCCTGACCGCAGACGTCCTCTGTCCTCCAGTGTTGGCCTTCCTTGTCCTTGTGTTGCCCTGGGATTCTGGGAGGTTGGGAGTGCACAGACCTCAGAGATGGGCCAATGCCTTCGGGGCTGTGCTGTGTGGCCCCCAACAGGGCTCTGCCGCCCAGGTTGTCAGGAAATCGGGCACTGTCAAGGCACCATCAGCTCCTCAGATGCATTTCAAGGATTGAAGTGGGAAAAAAGATCTAGATGCCCGTTCTTTCTGCCTTTCCTCAGGATGCAGGCTTTGAAGACAGGTGGTCACCTGGGCATGGGCTGGGGGGCCTGCCACTTCTGGGAGCCCCTCCTATTGGGCTGCCTGAACTTTGCTACTAGCCTGAATGACAGTGCCTTGGAAAGGCGGGCTCCACGCAGCAGTGACAGTACTCTAAGTACCTTAAATGCATGTTCCCTGCACTTCCCCCAGGGAGGGTCTCTGGGAGCAGAGCACGCCAGCAGATGGGGTGCAGTGACCCCAGGCACTGCCCCTCCGAGGCTGGCCCAGCTACATCCTGCACCCTGGGTATGTGGCTCCACCAAGGGGCAGATTCAGTACTAAGGGATCGGGCTGCTTCTATGGCAGCTGCAAGGATGGCCCTGGGCAGGTGGCAGGCCCCAACCCTGGCAGGGGAGAGGGGAGACCAGAGTGATGTTACTGTAAAGCCAATCCTTAGTTCCAGCTGTTTCTGGCCACATAGCCTGTAGGGAGGGAACTGCTGCCTTTTGCCTCTGAGAGCCCCTGACTCCTAATGATCCCTGAGCTAGGCGCAGGCGGCCCTCGTGGCTGCACATAAGAGCACAGTTGCTGACTCCCCAAATGGCCAGAATGACCCCTCGGCCCTGCAGGCACTCCAGTGTTCAGAAGCAGGGGCCTGGACCTCAGGCCTCCTGCCTGTACTGGTGATAGCTAGGGAGAAAAGGGCCTGGTCATCTGGCCAGCCAGCAAGTTGGCTCGGGCAGGAGGCCCTGGGGCAGCTGGCACCTTCACTCTGGGCTGCAGGTTGAGAGACTGCCCAGCAACAGTCCCGTTTTACTTGCCTTAAAACTGGAGAAAGTAATCTAGTATTTGCACTTAGCAAAAGTTTTAAAAGCTGAAATTAAAAAATGTGCATGATCTGTCACTTTGTATAAAAATAGCAAAAAATGAGTAAGTTCATTATACTTTACCTTCTGGTAGTAAAAATAGATTAAATAATTCTGTTTAAACTACTGTGTGTAAAAAGCCTGTATCATATGTAACTTGGACTTTTTGTAAATAAATGTTTGTGCATTCTGCTTCCTCTAGCTTCATTTCTCCACATTTCTGCCCCATCGAGCAAGTTGCAGGGCTGCTATAGCCGCAGCAGCCTTTGCTGGCAGATTCCTTGGAAGTGATTAGATCTCATCTGGCAGCCGCTCAGCTCCGGGAGAGGAAGTGCAGGGCTGGGTCCCAGCAGGAGAGGTAGGATTTCCCCACCTCTCACCTGCTGGGCGGAAGATCAGGTGACGTGTTAGGCGCATCCTGCTTAGGCGGCTACTACCCAGGCCCAGATTGGGCACAAAGGGTTTGTTTATTTGTTTTTTGGCACAGAATCCCCTTCAGGAAAATGCAGCCAGTCCCTCTTCCAGGCCCCTTCCCCAGGCGGGGCCAGCTCAGCCCTGGAGAGAAGCCAGATCACTCGGGACCTTGCCCTGCCCTGCCCAGGTGGAGGGGCTGCAGTCACTGGGCCAGCTGCCCCATCGGCACCTCCTGCCATGTGCCAGGCCAGGCAGGAACTGGACCCTAGACCTGGAAGGGAGCCCTGGACACAAGGGAGGCTGTGACTCTCCCTTGGTCACATGGTACCTTTTAATAAAACATGAGCTAGTCTCTCCTGTGATTAGCCTGTCACCCAGGCTGGAATGCAGTGACATCATAGCTCACTGCAGCCGCGAACTCCAAGCGATCCTCCTGCCTCAGCCTCCTGAGTAGCTGGGACTCCAGGTGTGTGCCACCCCATCTGGCTAATTTTTTATAGAGATGAGGTCTCGATGTATTGCCCAGGCTGATCTCAAACTCCTGGCCTCAAGCGATCCCCCTGCCTTGACCTCCCAAAGTTACAGACATGAGCCACCAAGTCCAGCATAGCAACTTTTCATTGAACAATTTATCTTTTTTTTACCGTGTCTGAGAAAAAGTATACTGAAGTACAGTTTCAAGAGAAAAGTTACGCACATTCCCAGCTTCTGAACGATCACTGTGTGTTTTTAATGTCCACGCCATCCAGCCCTTGTTGCTGTTCACGTCCGTCTTCGTATCTGCAGCAATTTCACAGACTTCTGCAGTTTCAGTGGATAAGTAAAGGCTATTGTCCACTCCGCTGCCGTCATTTTTCCCATCCTCCATCTCAGGTAATCAGGTGATGTTCTTCCCTGCGTGCCCTTGCAGGCCAGCGCACCTACCCCCTGCGGGGTGTCAAGGCCACTGTTTTCACAAAACTTAATCAGCACCTTGCGCTGCAACTTGCTCTTCTACCCTAACAGTAGGCACGGACTGTCCTCCAGGTCTGTAGATCTATCCTTGCCTCCATGATACTTTTGTGTCCTCCATGATACTTCTTTGTATAGATTTGCCACAAGTTACCCTACCATTCTCCTATTAAGGAAAATGTGGGTGCCTTCAGTGCTTCTGCCACCACGCACAACACCTCAATGAACGCCCCCTACGAAACTAGGGCTTTGATGTTTCAGAAGATACATGTTCGAAAGTGGAGTTGCTGAATCAAAGGGGTGGCTGTTTGGATGGCTTTTGCTGGATTCCTCTCCTGCAAAACCTTTGTCAATTACCCCATCACAGGTGAGGGGCCGGCCCTGGGCTGTGCTCTTGCCCCTCAGTGGGACATCTTGTGGCCACGCTGGGTCTGTCCTAAGACACACCCTCTGGAAGCTGACCTCAGGAGGCATCACTCGTATCTACTTTCCTTACTTTTTTCCTACTTTCTTTTCTACTTTTTTTAGATATAGCTTCTTTTTGGTCAGGTCAAATTAGAATCTATAATTGTAATGTGCCAACTTTTATTTTTTCCATCCTTAACACATTGCCACACTAGGGAAAAATTTTTTTCCTTGGGGCCACAGTGGTTTATTATGAAAATAGAATAAAAACTTCGAAAACAAAATGATCCTTTCTAATCTAATGAAAACTGTGTTATTTTTTATTGTTTTCTATGCGTGAGTTATATGCAACTTGAAAAATCGTTCTCGCAGCTTCCAAAGTGAAGAAAACGTGTGAGTGACACATGCCTCACAAGGCCCCAGACTCAAAACTAGCGTGAGTTAAATACATCTCACATCGCAGTTAATGTGTTAAAAAGTGTCTTTTTATATACATTTGCCAATCATAAATGTTAAAAAAAAAAATAGAAAATGCATGTTCAAATAGAAAATGTTGAAAACAAATATATAAAGCAAAAATAGAAATGCTACTGATGACATTTGGATGTATTTACTTGCAGTGTGGTTTTTTCTGGGATACATACAATGTACATGAAGCCAGTGAACCAAACACACAGGCTTTCATCTTGCTTTTCTTTTCCTATCGGGAGCATTCACAAGACATGAGCAAGTGCTTCCAAAAGTGTTTCTAATCAGCTCTCTCCCTTCGAGAACCTCATGCCACAGGCTCCACCTGCTTTCTGAGTGTCTTGCAGTCATCTTCTATGGCTGGCGTGCAGCTGACCCAGACCGCTGCCCTGTGTCCTTTGGACGCCTAGGGGGACGTGGTCACTTCTACCTCCCTGGTCTGTGCCGGCCCTCTTGGCCCGGGTGAAGTCTGACCACCAGTTCCTCTGCACATCTGGCAAAGATGGCCTCGGACTGGTCCCTGGCTTGGCTTCGCTTCCCCGTAGAAGGTGCCAATTAAAACCCACATGAGAGGGACGTGGAGGGTGTGCAAGCTGTTGGGTCAGGTTCCTCTCTCCCCCGTCCCACCTGGTCTCACCTACAGTGGGTGCTGAGAGCCACCCGGAGGCCGTCCTGGGCGCATTTGTGCTCAAGAGTCCTCCTTGGTGGAGGGTTGGTGGCCCTGCAGGTGTCTCAGTCCCAGCTCCACCACCTTGTAGCTGCCTGGCACTGGGCAAGACACTTAGGGTAGAATCATTACAGCATCTTCCTCAGCTGTGAGAGTTTGGGGATAGGAGACAGGAAAGGTGCTTGGGGGAGGGCAGCACAGAGCGGCCGTGGGGCTCGTCATCAGCAAAGGACGGTGCTGGAACCCTGACCAGGTGGCTCGGGCCCTGCCATCTCACAAGCTGCACTGTCCCTCACCACTTTGGGGTGACTCCTCCAGGATGAAAGGCTGGTCCACTGACCAGACCAGCCCCTCTCGCCTCTGTTAACCCCACATCAGACCCTCGGGGGCACTTAGCGCAGACCCACACCCTGCACTGCCTGCACGTCTGGCCGCCCACCTGTGGGTGCCAGCCTGGGCAGGGCCCTAGGAAAGTGCAGCTCCCCTGGGCAGTCGGGGGCTCTCAGGTCCCAGCAGGGATGACAGAGAAACACGCAACTCAAACACCAGGCAGGTGGGAATGGGGACAAGGCATGGGAGGGACATATGGGTGGCCCAGGGGGCTGAGAAGGCTTCCGAGAGGGAGAAACGGAGCTGACAGGTGGCTGAGAGGACAGGTGGGAGAAGGCCCCAACCTGGTTCCTCATCCTCATGGCCTGGGGCCTGTCCAAACACAGACTCCGGGTCCTGGACTCTGATTCAGTAGGTTCAGGTGGGTCCTGAGGATCTATATTTTGAATCAGCTCCTTGGGATTGGGCTCACGCTGGGCCTTGACAGAGACTTCCCTGAGGGCAGGGAGCCTGGCAGAGGCTGCCATGTGGCCTCTGGGTGGGAGGGGAGTTGGGGGTGCGTCTGAGAGAGGCTCAGGAGACAGACCAAGGAGACCCGGTGCTGGAAGAGGGAGAGCCCAGGGGATGGCCAGGCCCTATCCTGGCAGCTGAGGAACCAGGGTGCCAGGGGTGCTTTGGGACATGGGCCACCCCAGTCAGCAAGGCCCAAAGGCCTGGGAATGCAATGGCAACAACAGGGAGCATGGAGGCCAGGGCGGGTAGGCCGGTGCCCCAAGGAGCACCCCATTTTCAGGACAGGCGGGGGGACAGCACTGCATGGTCTAGAACATGCAGACCGAGCAGCCAGTGAAGGAGAAGCAAAACCAGTGACAAGGAGGGGAGCCAAGGCCCCACAAAGGACCAAGCACCAGACCACAGCCCCCTGCAAGCATCCCCAAACCTTCCTGCCCTCAGATCCGAGAACAGCACCCACACCCATACATGCA